ACTCGAGAGGCTCCGGTGCTCACCAAACCGTGAAGTATTGCCTCGGTATGGCGATGCCCGCCATTTTATTCCCCTATCAAATTTCCTTGCCGATCGCGCGCCTTTCCCGGTGACTGCTTATATTGTATATATGCGTATTCATGGATTTTAATAAAATTGTTTCCTCGACTACCGATGCTATATGCTTCGGGTAATTTTCAGTCTGTATAATTAATGTCATCAATCTCTTTAATGATGATAATACCCTGTAAGACGTAGTCTAGTACTTTTACGTGCATATATAGATATATATATACGCTGTAAAATCAGAGACTACTTTGTATATGGCAATTACATGCAAATACGCAGCTTGAAAAAATTCACAAACACGTTACTGGATTGAATTAGTTCGAAGGGAAAATGATATCCTTATGGTAGGAAGACTACCAGTCATCATTGAACCGCGATTAGTTATAGCAATTGAACCGTGAAAGAGATTGGCTATATACGGATTAATTACACATGAAAACGTCTCGTGATACTTAACGCGCCGATTGCAACAATGTCGTACAATTTTCTTGGGCGGAATTTTTTATCTTGACTAATGACGGAGAAACATTTGGGACATGGCAGCGATAACCTAACGTTGCGATAAAGTTACATGCAAATTTTTATCATCGTACGCGAATAATTCATAGGAGCGTAAGTTCACGTGAAATAATACAGGGTTGTACGTATAGGTATATACGATATTGAAATCAAACGAACGGGCCAACTTGAGGCGGTTGCGTTTGTTGTTAATAACCCTTCACGCATCGTGTACATAATTATATAGATACCAGTGAAGTAACTAAATACGAATTACTTGTGATGGAACGAACCGGAAATTAATTGATCCTCGAGTCATCTTTGTACGGTGAACTTTGACCCGAGAGGTCACCACGAAACGTAGTCAATTTATCACGCCCATCTTTCGAGTCGAAAGTTATCCAATCGGTTTCAGTCTTCGCGTTGTATGCACAGTGACCATCCGCGTAAAACGATTTCTTATTAATCTCTAACAAGTATTTGATAGCTGATAACAGGAAGTAAGAGTTATCATTTCGTAAATTCGCTATTAATGGGGTTTTTTTTTTTCGCTAATACGAATCAATAATTTTCAACGATATACTGGACAAGAATTTGCATCGATGGAAATCGATTCGTATCGTTAAATAAAAAGCTTTAATGGAATTGACCGTAGTCGAAGTTGAACTGGCAATTTGATTGATCGTGATCGTTAAGGTTATTTATAGATACCGTAAAGCTCATTCCGTATCATCAAATACATTTAAAGTTTTTCATCGTTAACCCAATCAATGACGACCATTCGATTCTTAGCTGATAAACTTTTAGTCCTCGATCGTTATCCAATCGTGGCTTTCGACTAACCGATTTCCAAAGCCTTTCACCCAGTGACCCGTCATCGTTGGAAATACAACGAACCGTCATCGTAGACGATGAAGCAATCGAACAGACAGCTGATGAATTGCTGGAAATGTCATTGACAAATGTGCTTGACACCGGCAACGTGCGATGCCGTACAATACATAACAGCCTTAAGGCAATCGCGTAATTGTTAACCTTCTTTTTGCATTAGTTAATTAATTTCAGATGATTAACAGGATCTATTGCGATATCCGTTGTAACGTATTTTCTTAACTCGACACCGATAGCTAACGAAACGAGAACTGTCTTCGAGAACTAACCTACGTCACCACCGGCCGAGAATTCTTTTGTCACCGGGAACTAACGAGCCGGTTCAACCTGGGAGTTGCGGGGGAACAGGCCCAACTAGTTCCGCTAAAACGAGAGTTCTTACGGAACCTATAAGAATAGACGATAAGCTTATCGGGTCATGCCGATTTTTGGGGACGCGTACAATAGAGAAACGCAACCGTAGGTGCTGATCTTTGGGGTCGCGCGAAATCAGTAAAGGCAACTGGATGCACCAATGGAAGTGGACGGTTACGGAAATGCGCGACCGTTCAGGTTGCCAGGTTGAGGTAGAGAGGCTGAGACAGACAGACAAAGCGCGAGACAGTTCCTGACACCTCGATCGGTGTCTCGAGAGAGACTGCTTTGACAATAGTCAAATTCGAGAACTAATCATTCTGATTGATCGAGATCCTTATAGCCGATTAGTCTTATCCTTAGAGTCGTCCCTATGAAGCAAACCGAAAGCGTCCGTTAGCGAATCGGTACGTAACTCTTGGAGATCAGCGATAATAAATATTTCCGAAAGCATTGGTGTAACCGTACGAATGAACCCGAGAGCGTAGCTTCTGATCAGGGTGGCGACACTCGAAGGGAACCAGAAAGCGAGAAAAAATATATATGAAAAATCAATCTTACCTTCCGCTCTTCCAAGATCGGTGACAATGTAATTGAAATTATTAGTAGGCAATATTAATTAGGGACCATTTGTCATATGACGTCACGTGATTCAGGATCACGATGTATCGCAATCAACAGATCTTTCGTATACCGGTTCCCCAAACAATCGCTAAGTACAGTCATTTAATATTGTTCGATGACAGTTGAGCGCAACTTGACCTAAAATCGGCGCTAGTCGATCTGGTAGAACACACCTTTAGTAGAGTAACCGAATACGTAATCACGTTCATTCATGCTCATTATTCCGACGTCCGATTTCACAGCAGCTGGCGATAGCATTGAGGGAGCGAGTGCGCGGGAGTGGGAGAAAAAAAGATAAAGCACACTCCGATCGTGGCTGACAATGAAGAGAGGCGGGATACAAGGTGAAAAAAAAAAGAAACGGCATGAAGGATCGAAACCACGTGGTAGATGTGACGTCATCGATCCGTTCCATTCGATCCATGGAGAATGGATAGCTGTTGCGTTTTTCGTTGGATTCAATTAAGACCGGAATTCTGAAGACTATTTAACTTGACGGGGGTTACCCGTAACGACCCGAATCCCACGAGTTCAATAGGAAGATTACGAGCAATTAGGTGAGAGGTGGCTTTCACCGATTCGGACGCCAACTTCGTTTGGACATAATAAAAGACCGAGTCTATGTGGGGGGCTACGATTCTTATTTATTTTTTATTGACAAGTCAATGACTTTTTTGAAATCTCAAATATACCAGAAAATTATTTTTATTTTGTGATAAATTTAAAAAATTTATTCCCACGTAACTGACCATTTTTAGGGTAAGCAGTCAGATACAGATATTTGTTTTTTAATGTGAGGTGAATTTTGAATAACATTGTTTTTTCATTTATTTAATCCTTATGATTATTGGATTGTCACTTGAAATTTCTTCAGAGAATATGCCACGATTCTTAACACTAGATTTACCATCTATTTATTCATTTTGACTGGTACTGGTATAAATGTCAGTAACAAAAATTATATTTGTTACTAATGTATATAAAAATATTAAGTTTATAAAATGTATTCTCCACTTATAGCTACAAAAGTCATAACATAATTTTTGAAATCAAATGATATATGTAGTAGGAATTTTGAAATGAAATTGCACGACCAGTCAAAATAACTGGTCTGGTAAATCTAGTGTTAAATGTAAAAGAGTTCTGTTCGTCGTTGCTGCCACTCGAGATACTCGTCATGTTTTTTAGTATCGTAAACCTCTACTACCGTTTATCAATAATTATTCTCAACCGTGTACTTAAGATCCACTCGCTCGATTCCAGGCATCACGATCAGAATAGAAACTCTGAATTCATACGTTTATTAACAAGTCACATATATACGAGTGCGTGTCGACGATTGGTCGCGACTTGCTCGTCGCATACAAAGACGTCCTTTGGCACACGCGTCTCATATCCGGACTGTCGTGCAATAAAATTAATCACTCTTGTACGACGTCGGAATAACTTATGAAATACAAGGTAGTCATAGATGCGAGTGGTATGACGTATCCAAGAAATCAACGAAAAACAAACGTATTAAATTTTATACCAAGAAAACGCCATGTTTTAAACATAAATACAGATTAAATTGTATGGCACGATCGGAATTTGGAAAAAAAAAATATTTTCGATAATTTTAATGTTTTACGGTTTTTTTTTTCCAAATAATTCTTAACTCATGCAATCGCGTTGTTTCTGTCTCTCTTCTTTTCTACACTGACAATGTTCTCCCGGCATGCATTATTCAATGACACCGGAAGAACGTCTTCCAGCCCACGGTCCCAGACTTCACTCTTGGGCCTCCTCGGTACCACGTACGGAGAATTACACTAATTGAGTTCAGACCCAGGAATCTCAGAGTCACGAGGGGACCGTCTCTTCTCCGAATTTGGTCTCAACATACGACAGAAACGTGGCGCTCCTGTAACTTTTTTTTCTTCTTTTTGGATGAGACTAGAAATTAAAAAAATATTGAAGCGAGAGATCAGTCCTATCAAAGAGAGTTGGTCCAGTACGTATCTCATTCATTTCAGATCAGATTTTGGTTTCCGTTAAAATATAATACTTTTCATAGACCATGTACGTCGACATATAAATATATACATATAAGATGTTAATTTAAAGATCAAGAACTACCGAGAATATCTTAAAGTAAGTATATTTGAATGAAACTATTTATTTCCTATAAATTTTTATCAGGCATTATAATAAAAATTGAAATTAATAAGTCTAAGCAGATTTAAGAGACATTTAAATTGCCATGCCTAAACAGTAGTGTTAATTCTATGGGGACTATCGTACATATATCTTGTGATACCCATCGGGCAGTAAAACCTAATTAATGAAGACACGCATAACTCCGTCGTAATAATTTGACACATATGATTCGGTTGCGAACAAGTTCATTAAAGATCATTAAATGTATTATATTATGTAAATCTTGAGTTTCTACTAGCATCCGTTTTACGAAGAAAGAATTTCGTCGTAATGTCTCATCGGCTGTTTTCATTTATTAAATACTATTTGCCTAACCTAACCTAAAATCGTTTCACTAATAAAGCCTTAATCAGGCGCGTACCTACCTTGGTAGGATCATCAATAAAGTTCCCCATGGTGATGACGTGCAAAGTCGCTTCTCTGGTATTCTCCAACTCGTCGGGAAGACAGTATAGGGCTTCACTCACGAAGTATGGCTCCGGACATGTAAGTCTGCAAAGAGCACACCATATTATTGCACAGTCGAAGGAGTCAGATCGCATATTTGAGATCAAAGGTTAAATCATGTTTTAGTCTTTTTGTTAGTCACAGCGACTAGTGTAATGAAGATTTAAAGTTGTAATGAAAATGAGTGATATACGTATACAATTTTGAATCATGTTTGATGAAAAAATTCGTAAATAAGGAAAAAAAAAATGTAATTTTGAAATATTTTGAAAAATAAAATAAAACAAAATTTTCTGAAATTTCGAGTGGGGAGGTTGGATATATTTTAGAAGGGATCTCAATGCAAATGAATGCATAGTAAATAATTCATAAAGCACAGAGGATGCTTGGAAAATACAAAAATCTATTGAAAATTCTACCGGGTGTCTCGGAATCAAGAAGCAAATTATTTCACGACACGCTCGTGCTAATTGGTCCGCAGCGAGCCGATTTTAGTCGAGCGTAAACGCCCGATTCTGCAGAGTTCTCAAGGGTTTCCTCGTTCTCGGCATCTAACGGGTGGTCCCTGTGTAGATTAATCGGGTCCCAGTGGCCCAGGTAGCAGGGCGTGTTCGCGGCATTTAAAGTATTAGTCGGCACGTAGCTCGCATTATGGAATCAATTTGCTAAGTGGCTAGAAGTGAATGGAAACCATGAAAGGGAAAGAGGGTGGGGAAAAAAGGGGTGAACGAAGGAAGACAAGACTGAAAAAAAGCAACTAATGAGAAGCAAAGAAACATCACGTTACGGCCACTCCTGCGCCGAAACTCACGCACGCCACGATACCCTTTAGATTATGCAGCTGGGCAATATTGTATTTTGAAAGTTCCCGCCGCGCGACTTTGCCTTAATTAAAGTTCGAATTCCACGGGTTAATTGGAACCGCTCTTGCTCGCACAAGGCTTAATGGAATTTTTGTATCTTTTAAGAGATGCCCGCGGCACACCCTGTACACTGTACAAATATGCGTTGCTTCTCCTCATACTTTACGAGGACCGGAAGTCCATTCCACGGATTACGGTTTAACATGGTTAAATACGAATGGCGATAGATCCAGTCTAGCCTCATGAATATTCAAGGAAAGAATATTATTCCTTTTTCTGTCGTGAAACACAAGCCGGTCCTGCCTGACTCGTGCTTAGGTTTCCAACAACCAAGACTATCTTATTCTCAAGTATACCTGGTGTCACCCATTTATACGGGAAGTAACAGCATCCCGTGTTGAAATTAGAAATATTTTTACCTAGCCCAGAAACTGTACAGTACGTCTATCCGGTAAGACCGGTAATTATAAGCTCTTATTACTGATGGCGCAGAGACCCTCCCGTGACTCTGAGTACTTTCGTTAGTTAGTACAAATATGTTCATTAACTAGACGCGTTGCCAACGCAACCGGCTGTAATAATAATCGATGTTAAGCATCCGATAAACATGACGACCTTATAGCACGGCTTCTTCGCTGCCGCCGGTCCCTTCCAACGATGGTTAAGGCCTTGAGATATGGCTGGTTGAAAGATTTTGATGAACACTTAGTTAAAACTCGCCTCATATAAATTCCATACTTTCGTACGACTTAATGTGTAATTCGACGAATACGATACTTAGTACCTCATACGTTTATCAGATCGTTAATCATTATATCAGTAATATAAGATCCGTTTACACGTGCATATTCATAAAATCGTGGATATCTCTGAAATGAAATTGAAAATAAAATTTTATCCAAGAATAATTTTTTTGGGTAAGCGCCGAGGGGTGGGAGGTTCAGGATGTCGAAAAAAAAAAAAGAAAAAGAGCGAACGGGACGGATAGAGGTTCGGTAAGCAAAGAAAACTGAAATAGGCAAAAGAAAAATACGAAAAAAAAGGGACACGGAATCGCAGGCAGCCAACCTAAGGGCGAGAAAAGCGTCGAAAAGCGCGAAAATAAAGCCCTCGTAAAACGGTCCATTACCGTTGAGAATCCGCGGTAATGCCTGTGTAATTTACGGGAACGAGACGAGGCCGGCAATCATTACGAGTGGCGAGTGTGCGGAGGTCTGGCAAAGGGGGCTGGAAACAGAGGTACGAATTAATAACAGCGGCTTCTCTTCTTCTTTGGATTCTCTGCCTCCGCCTTCTTCCTTCCACGACTCCAGTTTCCATGTAATCGTCAGGATAATGCCGATTGGCCCATCCAGTCCGGAGAAGAGAATGATAAAAAAAAAAAAGAAAAGAAAAAACACGTCGGAGTTCGTTATATACCACTTTTCTACAGACACTACAATATTGACTTCAACGTTCGTAACATGGATATACCCTTAGTCCAGGACTTTTGGTCTGAATCGACCTGTAGAATATACACTCTGCCATCTCGTGTCTCTTTCTAACAATTTATCGTCATTAAATTTTTTTTTAACGCAACAACATTTTTACCGATCTCCTTAACGATGGAGACGTTGATAATCGATTTCTGAAAGGCGCTGTAGCGTCACCGCATCTATCATCATATACTCCCCTTTATATTCCGTTTAAGCTCGTATCTTCTCGTTGCACCTGTAAAGTGGCCAAGAGGGTTTATCGAAGACACGAGAAGCACGCGGCTCACCGGTCGCATAATTCAGATGGAGTAATAGCGTAGGCTGAAAAGTGGACACTCTTCATCAGGTTTCACGCGGTCGAGCCACTCGCCACTCACCATTTGCTACCACCGAATGACGCGGTATAATAACGTAGCGTCATCTTCCAACGATAAAGTAAAGTGAGGACGGCCATGTTGGAGTTCTTATTTCCCATTCGATTTAAGGATTCGTTTCAACAAATTTTTTCTCTAATTTCACTCAACTTCTCTCAACGGTTTCACGAGGTAGATATGCTATCTGCAAACAGCCGTGTTGAAGCACGCTACAGGCGAACCTTCGCACGGAAAAGATACATACGAGAAAACTTGAGATACTGAAGTTAGCAAAGTTTCCGCGAGAACGCACTTTTGCGCACGACTCCATCTTTGTATCTGGGTGGATGCAGGACGACAACGGTAGCAGGAATATTGCTTTTTGTATTTTAGAAAAGTTGTTAGACCGCCGACGAAGCTTTGTTATCGTAGAATTCAATTTTGAAGTAAACGCCATGGTGAATAAGAATCTCTCATATGTGTACGGTATATATATATATATGTGCGTGCAAAAATAATCATACATAGAGATCATGAGAAATAAATATAAAAAAGGTTCAATTGGTCTCCAAGTACGTATAAGCATGTTCGGTAATTTGACAAGATGATCGTTAAATTGAAGAGGATGAATGGATAGAGGTTAGGTTCTTTGATGAGTCCTACAAAAGGGCCTTATCCACCGTAGCGCGCATGCGCCAAAGCGACTCGAAGAACTAAGATAGAATTGCAGTGGTTTATAGCTGCCGTGGCCCTTGGGTATATTGCGATGCGGTTAGAGTCTTCTTCGTGGGGTGCGCCGACAATGTGACATGCAATATGGTAATCACCGTAGGCTGCAGCGGCCTGCACGAGGGCCGGGACGGTGGGCCTGAATAGGGCCCAAGAGCCCAGAAAGGAAGTACGGACAAGCGACGACGTACGTCTGCATTCTGAGCCATGTACCATGCCGCACGCGGCACATGAATCAACGATTTTTAGATGGACTCTCGCAAAACCAAGCTGCTCGCGCTTTTCCGGGTCGTCATTTTTATACTTGTTTACTGCCTGACGATCTGATCCATATAAATGCAATCACGAGCGCATACCCTCCGCTTCCAGCTCAACCATAAGTCGACTGACAGATTTTTCCTTCAAGCTGTCGGGATACCGTACTGACGTCCGCAGAACTTCAGGAATCAAGTAGAAATTCCGTTGATAGGTTAGACGTACTAGAATGCGAGTAACGTGTGACGTTTCAGCTAGTTCAGGATGTGGAATAATAATTGCGGTTCGATTACAACAAAAATTGTTCAGGTGAAAAATTTAGGTTAGCTGTCAACGTAAATATTGACTTACCTAAATTTTAAGGTTTCATTTTACGATGTTTTCATATTTTGTATCGATATATTCATGGGAGAAAATTAATTAGTTATTTAATATTTCATGGGATTCTAAAATAGTTGACTTAGACACAGCCCGTACTGCGAGTCAGGATCCATAAAGGTTTGGAAATTGTGTACCAACTGTCCATGTAAACTGGACACCCTGTTAGAACACCCTAGATCACGTACTTGCATCGGTCTGTACTAGCGGTAGTATCTACTTGACTAAATAACTCGTTTTCTTTCAAGCTAAGGAATATTCCTAGCATGACTGGAGATCGAAAGCCACTTCCTCGAAGTATGAGCAGGCGAGAAACTCGCACGCGCCGGCCCTGCCTTGCACGTTTCGTTTACATCGAGGGTTATCGTGGTCATCGCGGTTACCGGCGTGGTATGACGTGACGTTTCCTATCCTGAGGCACTGCAGCGTAGAGTCAGTTACAGTGCTGAGAGTTAAGCACTATTCCCAGCTAGAAAGGTATAGTGGAGATAGACTCGTTACAGATATAAGATCGGCTGGGTGTTTGAAGATAGAATGGCACACGAGGGAATGGGACCCAAGGCCCAATTAATAAAAAGCCTTTAATGACGGGTTCGGCTAGAAATCGATTGGCAATAATTAAACGAGCTTGTTTTCATAAGGCCGAATCTTATCAGAATAATTTGTAACCAACAGAGTCCCAATTTCGTTCGTTATCGCATTACGTTTTATTATCTCATTTTTCTTCTGCGCCTTCTCGTCGTACAACGCAGCTCCTTCCTTGTCTATTCGTAATATTGTGATAGCCAACGCCCTCTGTCTGCCTATGGTTGGCGTTGATAATTATTTGTCGAGCGCCCCGAGCGGGCCCATTACCAAAGATTATGGGCCTAATTTCTTTACCCCTGACTCGTTTTCGGGCCCCACAGAAGCGCAGAAGCAGCCGCGACACGGTCCTAAGAAAAAAAGGCCCTATCACTTTTCGGCAAACAGTTCGAAGCTCTATTTGACTT